ATAGTGCAGTATAATGCAAGAGCCACTGACAAATCACGATGTATATATTTTTCGATAACCGAGTTCAATAATTGTTTAATTATTTACTTATTCATTTTCGAAATTTTGTGGCGTCTCGAAGTTCAACAATTAATCTGTACAACAACAATATCTGAAAATTTAATTGTTGTAGATTATAATTTTATATACACAATAAATTGCTTTTCAAAAATCTTAAATGCGCATGCTCAGACCATTATTTGCACCAGTTATATTTACAGCTGACGTAATATTCTCACCAATTATTTGTAGGAAATTAGCCAAATAAGTAAATGATAATATTGTTTAATGTGCAATAGTTCAAAAAAGATAATTTGAAAAGTAAAATTATTTCAGGTGATCGTTCTGTTTGAAAGAATGTTAAATGTTTGGCAATGCTATAGGTCCCTTTACTTACCATACAGTTACAAAGTTTCATCCATTGTTTATTATAGTGGACAACTGGTAAGGTATCTGGACAGGACGATTGCGCTATTTGCAATGTACAAGTCGCAACGGAAGTTTGGTTGGTCACAAATTTGATCTCAGCTCCAAAGGACATTAAGTCAATACATGTAAATGTCCAAATGTTCAGAGCTGAATGTTCAGGCTGCAAAAACCAGAATATAACAGTTTATATTTTACGTAAAGCCTTGCCAAAGGAAACGAAAGATAAAGAAGCTGTCGGAATTTTAAAGAATCTGACGTTGGTGGCAACACTTGGGAACCAAGTAATTAACACAGCGAGATTTCATGAGTTTTATTTTGAACCTAAGGCATCACAATTCTTCTTAGTGTTCCTGTCTGCAGGTAGTTGTACTCGGATTCAAGACATCAGATTATCCTACTTCATTTGTGACAACAACATTAGCAGTGGGGTTAAACTGTCCAGAACAGTTGCCCCAGTTAATGGATCTCAAAGAGTGAATGTAAGCTGTCCTGTAAACACACTAAATCCTGGTAATGAAGAAGCATATGGGTTGTGCTCCAGTAAAGGAATATGGGAGATAAAATCGCCATGCATGTGTAAGAAAGGATACACCTTAAATACTAATGCAGAAGGATGCATAGGTAAGTTGTGTCTGGTTAGTTTGAATTGAAGAATTCCTAATTGGAATGTGATCTGATTAGATGTTTAGTTTGTATAATATTTTGCCTTAAGGCATGAACTTTATTAAATTAAGGTATAAGCAATTGACATTAAATGTAAATCTTTAAAATATTTTTACCATTAATGATTAGAAAGTATTGCTTTAAAACATGAAACTGTTTAATAAAGCAAACATCCATACGTTAATTTAAAATTTTGAAATTATCTTGTAACATTGAGAAAGCAATTAGAGTATGAATAATAAACTTATATTCAACTACAATATATATAGGAATATATTTTTTCTATGTTGAAAAAGAATATAATACTCAATATAAATATCATAGTCTGAGTATAGATTTTGAAATATTTAGTTTAAGAATGTCCAATCAACACATATAAAGATACGGTTGGAAATGGAAAATGCACTCCTTGTCCAAGGAATTCCGGTAGAAATCTCAACGGACAAGTTCAGTGCGTGTGTTACGATAGCTTCTATCGGTTTCAAGGGGAGAACCATATATATCCTTGTTACAGTGAGTACTTACATTATTTGCAACTTTTTTTCTTCAATCCTACTTTGTACTTCTAGATGTCAGTTTTACTCATGGAGTAAATATTGTCTAATGGGTGTAGCCTATATATAAAGTGTAAAGCTGCATGCATGAGTCAAGAGTGAGATGTTAGGATAAAGCAACAGTCGTTTTTCAAAGAGTGAATATAAAAGAGCTCAATACATAATATAGTATACTAACGAAGAATCTAGGTTTTCTGACTTTTAAAACAAAATTAAGCATGCCTTTGACATTGCCGTTAGTTCAGTTGTGTTAGTCTAAGAGAACACGTAAATGAGTAATATAATGTAGTAATGAACAACAGAACGCCTATATACAGTAAGTAGCAACAAGCAGAATAAAGACATACGCGCTGACATTTTCTTTTTTCATAGGAGTTCCTCCCCCTGTCAAAGACGTCAAATTTATTGACAAAACTGAAACCTCGATTACGTTGCAATGGACACCGCCACCTGGCCAGGGAGTGATGTATGACATAAAATGCAATAAATGTCCATCAGGCAGTGATAGTGGGCCGTGCGTAGTGCCGTGTGGACGCCTAGTGATGTTTAAACCATCCCAAAATAACCTTACGCGTACGAGTGTAACCATACAAGGTCTCGATCAAGATACGGAATACGAGTTCGTAATTTATTCCAAGAATATGAACAGTCTACGCATCAATAGGACCAACTGGAAAAGCGCTATGAAGAAAATTAAGACCGAAGGTATGCTGTAGCTGACACATGATGTTTTGGTGTTTAACTACCAGACCACAATGCAAAAGTGACGTGCTAGCTCCTATTCGTCAGGGGAGGCCAGCTGAAAATTTGGTTGTTGCATGTTGTAAAATCTTTTCATTTATTTTGCGCTACTTTTTAAGTGTTGATTACAGGAATGTCCAAATCAGGTGGTCTTCCTGCAGCAGTTATAATTGTTGTTCCAGTGGTTGTTACTATTCTGATGATCAATATTATTATTATTTTTGTGATCTGTTTATTTAAACGGTAAGTCGTAAGATCTGTATTGATGCAGAAGTCCTTTACATGGCGACGTAAGACGTTGTAGTTTAAATATTATCGTATTTTTTTCTTATCTAGTCGCAAAACCAGGCAATCTCGAGCCAGTCAACGCCTAAGTGGCGGAGGTTAGTCCTATTTTATGCCAGTGAGCTCTATATACATGTATATCTGGAGTAAGATCCAAAACGTGAAGCTAAAGATGGCCGTGTCACAGTGATATGTTTGCAGCCGACTAAAGTATAAAACATACTCTGAATAAAAGTTCCATCTTTGGTGTATCCCCATACTCATATCACTAGGGTTTGGCGTAACAATCATAACCCTTTCCTCTTTTCCTAGCAATATGAGTTTGGAGATTGGTACAAAACACGGGGATATATGCAATATCCGCTGTGGTACGGTTATTTACTGTAAAGTCCCAAAACGATTTGTAACTCTTAAACTTACTGAAAAGTGCGGAAAAGTGAAGCTGATGATAAGTTCTAACAAAATTCGTAGCTTTTCCTTGACATCTTGCAAGGAAAAATTAAGACTGCGCATATGGTCTAATTGGATACATATAACTGGGAACAGCTTTGTTCTAAAATAAGCATATCTGTGAATAAATTCAATTTATTACAATGTTATTTAGATATCTCTCTACTTTATGTTGATCCAATCACATATGACAATCCCGAGAGAGCGCTGTCGGAGTTTGCAAAACAACTGGACCGGAATTTGATTAAATTTGGAGACATTGTTGGTGGAGGTACCGAAAATTGTGTTAATCATCAAGTCTCTGCCAATTTATTATTATCATTATAATCAAGTTATGTAGGACTGTGGATGAAGTAATATAGGACCGTTATTAAATCAGGACTTTCGATGCAACATTGTTATATTAGAGGACAAACTTAGGTCTCTTTAACTTTTTTCAGGGGAATTTGGTGATGTGTACAAAGGGGAAATGAAGCTTCCTGAGCAACCAGCAACGAAAGTGGCAATTAAAACGCTCAAGGTAGTGTTCATGCATGTTTGTACACATTTTGATAAATTTCCAGCAGCCAGAATATTTTTCAAATTAAAAACAGCGGGATCTACGATATGAACTGTAATTTGAAGGCCAGCCGCATGTGATCTCTCGACAACGACATTTATTTGTACCAATTGTTACATTTTTTACTAGCCAAGAGCATCGCACAAGAATCGAACAGACTTTCTCATTGAAGCGTCTGTGATGGGGCAATTTAAGAATTTGAATGTGATTACTCTGGAAGGTGTTGTGACTAAAAGTAAGTTCTTATGTGATTGTACTTTACCAGCTGTGTTTTTTTAAATCTCTCATTGTTAAGCTATAGCAGCATCTTAATACGTGGTAGCTAATACGTGGTATAGATGGTGATGATTATGATGAGAATGAATGGATCAAGACGGTGAAAGTGGTCAAGATCTGTGAAAATCGTGATAATGAGAGTGTTTTATGTTCTATTTAGGTACACCATCACTCATTGTGACAGAATTTATGGAGAATGGATCTTTAGATAAATATTTAAAGGTAAATTAAAACGAATACAATATATATCGAATACAATTGCTATTGATTCTCATGTCATAAACCTTGCAAATTTTTTAATATTTATTGTTTTTAGGAAAACGATGGAATGTTAAATCCATTACAACTGCTAGGAATGGCCCGTGGAGTTGCCAGTGGTATGGAGTACCTGGCCGGGATGAATTTTGTGCATAGAGTAAGCTAATATTTTATCTTTTTCCAGAGGCATAGGAAGGTTGATAAATATATAAGGGTGGGGGGGGGGGGGCGTTTCCACGATTCGCCCCCATGGTTAGCGCCAAGCGGGAAAACTGATTTTCGCAAAATTCGGAATAACACGTTCACAGTCTTCTCTTTTCATTTAAGGATTTGGCTGCCAGAAATGTCTTAGTTAATGACAATCTTGCTTGTAAAGTCGCTGACTTTGGCCTGTCCAGGGATCTTGACAATAGTGAGGACTCAGAGTATGAATCACAGGTCAGTGGGTCGACCCATTGCATCACAAGATTTAGTTGGCATCTCACTCGATTGAATAAGAGCTAGTTGAAGGAATTTGTACATGGAAATTATCGAGTGGAAATTTTATATGCATGTACCAGATCTAACCAGGAACGGCAGGAATCGAATTTGTGGCCCTGCGATTCCGGGGCAGTGCCTTGACCATATCTGAGCTACAGAGAGACAGTCATGCTCGACAACTAGACTCTGCAACTCAGTTTGGTTAGAGCGCTGCATTGGCCTCGCAGAGCAGCAGGTTCAATTCCTGCTGAAGGAATATATAGATGCATTTTTCGCCGCTGTTCCTGGTTAGGTCTAATAAATGAACATAAATTCGAAAATTTTAATTTAGAAAACCCTTCTATACCATTGCACGACAGGCCATCTGAAGAATAAAAAATATCACAGTCAAAACACTGAGTGACTGCATGGATGGCATTGAGAGAAGTGGATGGCACTTATTTTATTTTAAACTTGTACTATATAACGTCGAGTTTAATTTTTAGGGAGGCAAAATTGCTGTGCGGTGGACAGCTCCCGAAGCCATTACTGATCTTAAATTTTCAACAGCCAGTGATATCTGGAGTTATGGTATTGTACTTTGGGAAATAATGTCCTTTGCTGAAAGACCTTATCGGAATTGGCGCAACGGAGAAGTGAGTGTGCGATGTATTCTTCGTATAAAGTAGCGGCTTTATGAAGCACAATTCGCACATTATATGACTGGATTATTTTGCGGTGTTTTTATAGGTTGTGATATGGGTCATTGATGATATGGGTCATTGATGTAAGTCCGTTAATAAACTTCTTGGTTTCTAACCGGGGTTCTTTCTCAATCTATTTTTAGTTATATCCAACCAATAGTTACCTCTGCCATGCAGGAGTTTACGTTTTTATCTGTGTTTGTGTTTGTCTATCTGTGTGTTTTTTTTTCTGTCAGCGCGATAATTTAAGATATCAAGCGTATTATTACGAATATCTGTGGGACCAATGAACATTCCCCAAGGTCATGGAAATTGATTAAATTTTGGTTAAATTTGGAGAAAAAATTGGAGAGGAAAATGAGCAAAAGTTCGTCATGCTTTGCTGGACAGTAAACTGAATGCGTATAATTAGTGGAAAATATATTAAATTTCATAAATTCAAAATTAGCTTAAGGTGACTACCTACACTTTTTAAAAAATGGAAGATTTTCCGATTTGGCATTGAATTTCTGGACAATAATTATTTGTTGAAAAACAAAGAGTACTTCATTTGAATAAAACAATAAAATAAAATAACTAAGGGGTTCGGAGCTTGTAAAAATTTATTCCTAACAGCCTATGGCAGCAATGACGTTTCAATATAGCGGATATTTTTGGTTTAAAGTAATTTTACTCGAAAATAAGGTCGGTGTCCACCATTTATTTTATAGCATGATTTTTTTTAGTATTTTGGATCGTTTCGTGATTTTGAAAAAAATCTGTCATGTCAAAATTTTTCAAGATCTGAAAATGTAATAATTTGTAACATTTTTTTTGCATGACAGAATTTCTTAAAAATCATAATGATTAATAATACTAAAGAATTGTTTTTATGAAATAAAAAATTTGGGTAACCAACCTTATTTTCAAGTTAAACAACTTTAAACCCAAAATATCAATATTGGCCATATTGTTGAAAAATAGGTACGCAGTGCGTACATGTTGCTGCCATCTGAAACCTTATGATGCGTTAGCGCTTATAACTTTTGGTACAACTAGCCTGAAACTTAAAATATTGATTTAATAAGTTTAATATCAATATATTTATTGAAAAATAGCTATTATGTCAAAATTAGAAAGCTTAAGATTCTCACGCGAATAGGCAACATTTTTATGAACGACTGTTCACCCTTAGTTGCAAGCGACGGTAATAACAAGGTCAAGGTTTTATCACTGATTGTCATAGAATGGTATTTTGTTGTATTACATTTCAATAGTATTAATGAAATTTTGTTTGATATTTTGAATATATTTCATGTTATTTACAATATGTACTATACTCTGTAGTTTTGAAGTTTTGCACACAATATAATCAGTGTGAGCAAAAAGGCTCCGTTTCAATTTGAGCATATAAAAAATATTATTTTGATAGCATATGGCCTTTCACGATATATAAATAACGCCTGATAAATAATCAGTGCGAGCACAACGGCTCCAAAATTACAACAAATATATAACGGAATATAAGGTAAATTAAGAACAGCCTTTACCTACCTCTATCTATTTTTCTAAGGCGCTCAATTACGTAAATTTTCGGCAAACAATCAATATTTTCTTTGCCTTTCCTGGACGAAAGCCGCGGACGAAAACGTACAAGAGTTATTTACATCACACGAAAATGCTCGTCGGAAAAACTCGGTATTTGTCGGTACACTAAACACCGCGACACAAAATTTAGAGCTAAATGAAAGTTGCATGCCATATATGACATGTAACAAAAATTGCATCTAAATCGGAGATCTTCCATTTTGTAGTGAACTGTAGGGAACCACCTTAAGTCGATTCAAGAGAACTACTCCAATTCTATTTTTGCGATGTGATATTTCTGGGGTAGGTTTTGCGGCAAGTTATAGTGATTGTGAAATACGCATTATACAATATAAACATTTTTGTGTATATAGATTTGTCCTAAAACAGTGCATGAGTTAATGAAAGAATGTTGGATGACAGACGGAACGAAACGACCACCATTTAAAGAAATTGTGAGAATAATTGATGTATGGATAAAATATCCCGAAAAACTTAATGAAGACTATATCAATGTGAGAAGGTATAATTCAACATGTGAAATGTAAAAATTGTCGAACACGTAACAATCCAGGTATATCATTAATGATCACAGACATGCTTCACTACCTCTCCCCTCGACCATATACAAAGCATGGTGATTGATATTTATATGCTACACTAGTCTATGAAACGTCTTTAACCATAAGGATACTTTCATACTTTCTCAGAATTGAGCCATTGGACAACTCAACATTTACTTCAGTAAATAATTGGTTAGGCACCATTGAGATGGGGATGTATGCCAGTAATTTTTCAATGGCGGGCTACGAAGAACTGTCTGATGTCGCTCAACTTACCGAAGATGAACTCTTAAAGAAAGTTGGAGTTACGTTGGAGGACCATCGACATAAAATGTATGAGAGAATTAAAGAAATGAGTGAGGACATGAAGTTAAAGCGAGAGCAGTCGGTGAAGATTTGATGTTGGTTACTGACAAGGCAGGATCATTTGACGTATTTCACAAAACAAAGCTTCATCTTACTATTTTATTGCTATATATAGCCACATACTTGAAGCCTAAACTAAATAGTAAACTAGTGTTATACAGTACTATGATAAGTTGCTGTACGCAAGACTGAATGGACAAAAATGCAAACTATTGCGTATTTTTATGCTACAGCCTAATTAATATACATGGTCAGGTAAAAGAAGGCTTGTGTGTAATACATATATACTACAAACATGGTCCAGTAAGAGCTGCACCATTTAAATAGCATACATTATCTACGTAACGTATTTATGCAGCGATAGATATCGTATATAGTTTTCATGTGTGTGAATGCATACAGTAGCTAAATCATTTCATTCCTACAACAACCATAACAGGCTAACAGTTTCCAGAAGGCGAAAGGCGTTTCCCAGGAGTAAGGAAACTTCTACAAGCTTTAAATATGGAATGCAACAACTGAAATTGAACCACTGTTCATCTTGTGTCTTGCATGCAAACAAAAGCTGAAAACCGAAGTTTATATAAACTAATATTGAATGCTGGATATTAACAATGAAGTCAATTTTTGATGAATTTTTTAACTGAATGTTGTTTTTAAACATGGAAATAGGTCACATAACTAATTTGTATTATGGTTGAAAATATTCTTGTTCAACGGAGATATTTAAGAAATTCGATGTAAAGAGACAACTTAAAATGAGGTGTGCTATGGATTTGTGAATATTAAAAGCATACGGTAAAGCAGTAGGACAATTTCATTTAGCTTTGTAACTCGCAGAGAAGGATAGTTTAACAGTTTTGACACTTCTGGCGTAAAAATGGTTAATATTCTTTTACTATAGATGCAGAGACGTTATTATTCGAGTACATGAAGTATTTTACACATTGTTTACAAAATGGTGGCCAAGCACGGACTTTAGGACCAATTCAATTTGACAACAATAGTATTCTATCTAAATAGCAGTTAAAGTGTACGGCACCTGAACTGTTCAATATCTTGCTTGACACAGCTTCTAAATCCATAAAACGTTTACATATTATCCAAATACTGTATATTTTCAAAATCCGCCATATTTATTTACATTAGAACCCAAGCCTTCGCGGTTCACACGAAATATTACGTCGGTGATTTTCACTAATAATAAGAGGGTATGATCATCCAATTATTTCATCGTTCGAAGCGAGAGGAAACCATGCATTCCATATATGGCACAAACGTGTCCCATGCAACTTCCTTATATGGCACAAACGTGTCCCCAAAATATTTTATCGAAACCGTTATGATGTCATAAGATTCCTCACGCTCGGAACGATTTGAACAGGTCGCGTGGTACAGAACCCAGGCAGCTGATTGGGTTAGCGAGTGACAACGCCCACTTTGATCCTACCCTGATGGATATTGAACAGTTCAGGTGCCGTACACTTTATTTTAACTGCTATTTAGATAGAATACTATTGCTGTCAAATTGAATTAGTCCTAAGCCCGTGGGCGAAGTGACTGAAAATTTGAGGTAAAAACAGCTGTTTTTGATCGTTATTCTTGTGCTTTTTGATGATGGGATCCCCAAAAAGGACGGTTTAAAGTTGATTTTGGAAAACAGAGGAAGTCTTTAATTAATTAATAATCAATCGAAGTAAATATTGTTCGTAAAATATTAAAACCTCCGTATACAAATAAAACTAAAATAAATACAAAAAACTAGATTGTGTACAATATATGTGTCTTCAGCAATTCTTGAGCCGCCATCTTAATTGTTTTCCCCACTGGCAGGATACGAGATGATATCTTGCTAAATAAAAATATTAGTTCACCTCAAGTCCTTTGAACGACGGAATGTATACAGTACATACTTTCCGCATAGAGTTCTGAGTAATAACTAATAATACAGAGTTCCTTGTTTTGTTCTGTATAGAATATCCTTGACTTGCACTTATATTATAAGAATCCGGGTTTACGAGTTGTGCCACGGTTCGAATTCTTTGCCTTTCCTCTAAGTGTTTCCACATTTAACATTTTAACTAATATGACTAATATTTAACTGATCAATTTTTTTGTGCACAATGTCCCTGATTTGTCCCAAAAATGTTCGTATTAATTGTAGTATTTTAAGTTAACGTGCTAACAAAGAAACAGACACAAACGCGGATGACAACATAACTTCGAATTCCTGGTGGAAAGCGATAATTAAAGGTAGGTTACAGTCCCTTCTGCGCATGCGCGGGCTTTGTTTACGTTTTTTGTTTTGATCCACATTAATTATATAAGATGAAGTATATGACGAGTTCAAAGTAACATTCCACATAATGTGTGACCGAGGAGTGCAATGTTTAACAATACTTCGCTTCATTTCTTGTACATTTCTACACTGGAAATTTTTGTACACATTAACACAATCTTTTTAACTGTAAACATCGTGAATAAAGTTATAAAGAGGCCGCTTTGAACCTTGTGTGACTTGCTATATCAACAGCTGGGGCGGCGAACCGAAATCCCGAAGGTGTGAGCTCGAATAATTTGTGTTTACCTTTGGAGTTTGTGTCTCATCATGAAAATACTGTTGTTGTCATTATGACAGAAGCGCTTGGCCTTAGCGAAAGCTTTTCGCTTGACGAAATTCGAAACAAGTGTGGTTGAGAATGTGGCTGCAGTTCCTATCTTCGTGGCAAAGCCAAGGGCGAAATTTTTGACCGTGCAAAAGCTGGATAAATAAACAGTTTTTGTTCATGCTCGTGCGCGCTATGGAAATGATTTCGTTATAAACAACAGAAGAGTTCAATAGATTGACAGTGACGAGAGTATGAGACGCTAAGATTATTTTTTGTGTTATAAAAATGTATATTTTGAAATTATGAACTGGAAGTATGAATTCATTGATATTACTCTCATATTGACACTAAATGATGATATTCTTGTGACACTGAATGATCTAATAGTAATATTAATTTCAACAATTCTGGTCCATCTAGTGATCACGTTAGTTCATCATGTCTCTTCAAGACAGTCAGACAGAGGACAATTGCTAAATATATGCTTGTTTCGCTCTATATCAGAGCTCATCAGAATGCTCAGGAAACACTGATGAAATTTCTATTTACATCATTCAATACATGTAGAGACTATACAATTACTTTATGGTTTCCGTGTTTGGATGGCCTGATCCAAACACGCGGGAATGTTGCGAGAGTTAAGAAAAGCGAGCGAAACACGAGCCGAAGGCGAGTGATTTTGCCCGCTTTTCTTATTAACTCGAGCAACATTCCCAAGTGTTTGGATCAGTCCATCCAAACACGGAAACCATAAAGTAATTGTTTTATAAAATAACAACAACACGTGTTTGGATGGCCTGATCCAAACACGGCTTTCGACCAATCAGAATACGCGTTATATACATGTTATTTTATAATACATGATCATTAGAGCTTGGAAATTAGGTCAAATTCCTAAAGAAAAGCGACTCTCATTTTTGGTATGTGAGGTATAATTTACATGTATATACATGTATATTGATTGTGCACAAATTATCTAACTAATAGCTATGTGTAAAGCTATACTGCAAAGCTGCTATCTTTATTTATCTCAATGACATTTTCAGTATTCTGGATCATTTTCATTACTTTGTGAAGAGTTTATTTTCTTTGATCTATATACATTTTTAGATTTGATTTGTCTTCATGTGATAAAATAAGAACCTGAAATGCTAGCCTAAACAAATTCTTATTTAGGGTGTCTAAATAAAAAAATTTAGCCTGACAAGTTCTTAAATTGTAGGTTCTTATATATGCAAGCAGGGACGCCGGAACTGGGGGGGCAGGGGGGCGGCTGCCCCCCTTGCCTTTTGCTAGGGGGGGGCAGAAGTGCCCTTTTAGTTATAAAAAAATACGTGATAAATCACATTTACAACGATGCTTTTTGTACGAAAATCATGCGATTCAGACAATTTATAGTTTATATTTGACTTTTGGTATGTCCGGAAAAATTTTTTGACCCCTAAAATGGTACACTGACCGAAATTTTTTTTTGGGGGGGGGGAAGAGGTCGCCGAAATTTTTCGAGTTAAAAAAATTTTGCGGAAGATTTTGAAGTTTTGCTTTAGAGAGGTGCCCTTGGTGTGGGTCCGCCCCCCTTTGCCTTATGATCATTCCAGCGTCCCTGTATGCAATGCAAGCTTTTATAGTCACAATTAGGGTGCACGTGAAAAAATATACTAGTAATTATTAGTTGAGTTTGTTTACATCATATAAGTTTCTATGATCAAAATATTTTATAAACTAAATGTCTTAGGCGGTATTTATATGGAGACGAGCCAGCCCGGTTACCTGAGCTAATTTAATTTAATTTTTAAACGTCAACTTTTAAACCTTACACCAAAGTGTGTTTAGTTTATAAATCGAACTACGAATCAAATTTTATAATCGCTGACTTTTTAACAGCTAATAGCACCAAAAATTCTTACATTTTGCTGAATTAACGTCGGCAAAAATTTTCCGACCTGGGAGGTTGATAGGTCGGCATTTAGGTCGGCATTGCCGAATGCCGACCTCGTTTTCGACAAGCGATTTCACTGAAGGATCCACAGTGAAGGGAGTGAATAGCAGCTATGTTGGGTGAAATGTCCAATTCGTCTATGATTCTTTTCTTGAAAACCTTTAGTAGAAGCTTGACGATGTAGGTATATCATTGGGAAACGCAGACAGAAATGACACACTCTCCATCGAGGAAAACAATAAAATAGATTCACTTTGATACACTTTGGAAGCATCTCTGTCAGCGTGGTATTCTTTCCTACTCGTCATGTTGACTCAAAAACTCGTTATTTGACGGATTGTCGCTCAAAAAAGTTTAATATATTTTGGAAACTTCTAGCTTCACTCCTTCGCTTGCGAAAAAAACAATGCGCGTGTTATTGCTGCCTCCTCCGCAGGCCCTCGTTGTCTCATGGGAAGGTCACGCTTTCGAGAGGGCCTGCGGAATCTTGTAAAATGAATAAATGTTGTTTTGAACCTGCTTCGTCGAAGAAGGCAGTTTTATTCGTGCAACGTTGGTGTGGACAACAAACCTTATCGTTAAAAAATGCTTCCTTCCACATCCTAAGAGTCGCCAGTTTAATTTACAAGTTTCACGCCGCTTTTTTATATCTGTTTATATTCAAGATTATGCAGAAATTTACTTGCTGACGTGACGCCGGCGCCATTTTTTTTTACAAGATTCCGCAGGCCCTCGCCAGATCGTGACCTTCCCATGACGCAACGAGGGCCTGCGGAGGAGGCAGGTGTTATTGCCAGAAATGAGACTGGACCGAGTATAAACTGGGAGGCCCAACTTCCGGTGGAGTCCCCAGGCAAAAACAATCGCAGACATGCGCAGAAGGGACTGTAACCTACCTTTAACTATTTCAGTGTTATATATACAATTGCATGGTATAATTACTTGCATGGGCAAGTAATTATAATTGTAAGAAACGAATAACAATGTCAATAATTATAGGAGGCGGCCGGCCCATTCATGCGGTGAGCAAATTAAGCAGATTGCGGACAAATAAAAAGTTCCACAACCATTTTGTCATTTTCGCCCACTGCATGTCAACCTCGTCCCCAGCTCTTTGCATGAAGTTTCCCGCTAATTCTGTTCCGCTTCTGTGACGCCAGGAAATTAATATTCCTCGATGAACGAGGGACAGGAAAGTGATAGTGACGCTGGCATGCAAACACTTCTTCCGGCACTAATTCATTACGGAATCTGACGAGATTATGTGAAGATTATCGCGGTTTTGAACTTGAAATTTCTTACTCAATTCATCTAGGGATGTTAACGTTTGAATACTGAGCAACCAAGCGATTAAGGTATGTGTTTTGAATCATAGAAGTAGAAGACAATGTGCAGTGGGTCAATTTCCCGCCCCCCAGAATTTAGAAACCATGAAATACGGCCAATTGTTTGGGGAAGTCAGGAAAATTCGGCCAAATGTACCACAAAATCCAGTATGTTAAATTCAGCTTCTTTCATTGCAATATTCGATAAAAGTTCGGGCAAGCTTCAAGTGCCCCTCACCGTATGCTAGTTTATTGTCTATAGCTGCTCCGCGCTCTGGTTTATATTGTCTATAACTGTTTCGTATGTGCTTTATATTGTCTATAGCTGCTCCGTACGCTTGTTTATATTGTCTATAGCTGAATATATTGGGCAGTTTTGTCAAGAAGATTATCTCGTCTCGCTGTCTCGGAGCTTGGCAGCTTGCTTGTTCTCTTATCGTCGTCATCGATCTTCGTCATGATCAATTGATTTACTCATGACTGGAGCGTGTTGAATATCGCTCATGCTATCAGTGAACTCACTTTACGCTGCTATTCACTATTCGACATACCATCTAAAGTCTGTATATAGAGTATCAAATTGCCGACTTCTAAATATCTGTAAATATAACGGTGTTGCAAGCAGGTGCCATGTGGGTTGTTCTTCAGACATTATTATTGTTGTGAGTGTTGTTTAAGTTGTATTACAAAACATTCGTTTTGCACCCGTAAAAATATAAATAAATATAAACTTTCCGGATATAACACTACTATACCTATAAGGGGGGTTAATTTTCAGAGATAAAGTTTCCATATATAAACATCGCAATTTCGCTTCGTGTAATTTGTAACTTCGGGAAGCTAAGTAATTGGACTTGGGTATACACTCTACAGCCTCGTTTTCGCGATTGATATATTGGCTTTAGAGCCCTATATCTTGTCACCGCGAAGACTTGATTATATAAAGGCCCTTTATATTATCATTGAATATGACTGGATGATTTCGTATTAAAATATGGAGATATGCATATGTCGCTCGTCTGATTTTCAAAACAAAGTCGCCCCTTGAAAACATTGCTGTGTCGCTTTCGGAACGTTATTGTTTTCCTCCTTTCCACGTGGCTTTCACAATTTAGAAAGGGTTCGCACCCAACGTCGCTATTTCGTTTTCTATATGTCGCCATTACAAGGCAATGTCGTTTGTCGGAATTTGCCGAATAACATATGCCTCTCTATAAAGCCGACACGTTCAATGTCAAGTACTTTATGGAATGGGGTGTATTTATTATGCAAGAGTTGATGAATAATTACCATAAACCTTGACTTTGTCATGCAATTGTTTTCTTTCTCGTTTCGAGCACGACAAAGTGGCGTACTTTGCATATTTAATTTACTGACTTGCTCTTCAGTATACGTGCGAGAAGGGACTGCAATAATTTCTGAATCGGGCAGGTTCTGTATAAAAACCGGGCAGATTCTAGTTAAAAACCGGGCAGATTCTAGTTAGAAACCGGGCAGATTCTAGTTAGAAACGGGGCAGATTGAAGTTAAAAACCGGACAGATTTTAGTTAAAAACCAGGCAGATTCTAGTTAGAAACCGGGCAGATTCAAGTTAAAAACCGGGCAGATTCAAGTTAAAAACCGGGCAGTTTTTAGTTAGAAACCGGGCAGATTCAAGTTAGAAACCGGGCAGATTCAAGTTAAAAACCGGGCAGTTTTTAGTTAAAAACCGGGCAGATTCTAGTTAGAAACAGGGCAGATTCAAGTTAAAAACCCGGCAGATTCTTTATAGAAACCGGGCTGATCTAGTTTAACATCGCGCAAACGATGAAAGGGAAGCACGACGTTTAGCATGATTGAATGCAACGTCGAAGTTTTGCTTATACTCCTATAACTGTATCATTATTTATTATTTAGATTCATCAAAGGAATTGCGGTGAATGAAACAGTTTAAATAAGAAATGAATTGTGTTAAAGAAACGTCATTTATTTTTTCACTTTACATAATATTAAGTTTTCAAATACATCTTTTCGTATGTAAAGAAGGTATAGTTTTCTTAATATCTATTTCATTAAGATTTGAAAGTTAGGAAGAAAAAAGATTCCATAAATGAAACACACTTGCTCAATGATTTAGTTTTATTAAACAGAGTCAGTTCATCCATCAATCTCTCATCAAATGGTTGGTCATTCGATTAGTCTGCTCCGCTGAGCCAGTGATTGGGTTTTAAATCTTTATTGCCGCCAGTTTCTGAGTAATTATTTACAAAATGAACACCGATAATAAAAGAACAATGAAAAGCTATCACTGAGCCAGTCGTAGGATGAGACAGTCAGCCAGCAGCCAACCATGATGATCTGTTGGTCATTGACCTCTCTTCTTCGCAGAGGAGATTATACTTACGATTGTACTCAATTTATTCTATTGAATCCAAGTATACAGCCTGCATGTTGGTTGACTAAAATTGTAAATATTAACGCCTATGCAGAGGAGAGGTTGTAGACAATTAGGAGTCACTGTTAGCCAGGTTGGTCCTTTACTTCAGCATGGTCTGTCATTCAGAAATTGGTATTGATGGACTACTATTTTCTTTATGTAGAGATTTTCAAGACAGGATCATGTACTGACTATTTTTGGCATAGTGTTCCAAGAACTGCTAAGGGGGCGCCGGTAAAACAGAAATTCAAATTATTTTTAATATAGTAAAATGTATTGTACTGTTTGTACTCATCAATATAACATACTATACATAGTCGTTTTACATATATGTCCGTTTACTCTTTTATACACGTCTTTTCTTTGCTATTCTCTTAAATTATTTCTATTTTAACAAGTGTTCAGCACATATATCTTGAGTACAACAATATAGCACTAGGGAATTCGCCACAGGTTTCCCCAAGATCGGCATGTTTTCGTAGTACTATTGTTTTTATTAATCCTGATTTTGCAAACTGATATCTTTATATACAAAGGTCACTAATTTGAAACACGTAATTACACGCTCTAGTGATATAAGTCTTCAATGTAACAGATTTAATTCACTTCTCATTATTTTCCTATATTGTTGGAAACTTGGAAGAGCGCATTGTCATCAATTGAATAGTTGTTAATGAGTTACAGTGTAAACTGAGTCCAAGTATTGCATTTCATCGTCGTGTTTGTCAGTGGCAAGCAGACCAATTATTTGCCGAAAGCAGAGGCAAATATTTGATCTGCGAGCCATACTGACAAATCACGACATTTTTCGATAACCGAATTCAATTCATTTTCAATTTTGTGGCGTTTCGATGTTCAACGATTAATCTGTACAATAAGAATATCTGAAAATTTAATTGTTGTAGATTATAATTTTATATACACAATAAATTGCTTTTCAAAAATCTTAAATGCACATGCTCAGACCATTATTTGCACCAGTTATTTGCAGCTGACGTATTACTCCGATTTTCACCATGCACGAGTTATTTGTAGGAAAATTAGCCAATCAACGTTGAGAAAATAAATAAGTAAATGATGATATTGTTTACTGTGCAATAGTTCAAAAAAGATAATTTGGTCATGTTGTATTGTTTATGTAAAATTATTGCAGGTGATCGTTCTGTTAGAAAGAATGTTAAATGTTTGGCAATGCTATAGGTTCCTATACTTACCATGCAGTTACATAGTTTCATCCATTGTTTACTATAGTGGACAACTGCTAAGGCATCTGGACAGGACTATTGCTCTATTTGCAATGTAGAAGTCGCCACGGAATTTTGGTTGGTCACAAATTTGATCTCAGCTCCAGAGGACATTAAGTCAATACATGCAAATGTCCAAATGTTCAGAGCTGAATGTTCGGGCTGCAAAAACCAGAATATAACAGTTTATATTTTACGTAAAGCCTTGCCAAAGGAAACGAAAGATAAAGAAGCTGTCGGAATTTTAAAGAATCTGACGTTGGTGACAACACTTAGGAACCAAACAATTAACACAGCGAAATTTCATGAGTTTTATTTTGAACCTAAGGCATCACAATTCTCCTTAGTGTTCCTGTCTGCAGGTAGTTGTACCCAGATTCAAGATATCAGATTATCCTATTTCATTTGTGACAACAACATTAGCAGTGGGGTTAAACTGCCCAGAACAGTTGCCCCAGTTAATGGATCTCAAAGAGTGAATGTAAGCTGTCCTGTAAACACACTAAATCCTGGTAATGAAGAAGCATATGGGTTGTGCTCCAGTAAAGGAATATGGGAGATAAAATCGTCATGCATGTGTAAGAAAGGGGACACCTTAAATACTGACAAAGGGTGCACAGGTATGTTGTGACTGAGGTTAGCTTGAATTGAAGAATTCCTAATTGGAATGTGATCTGATTAGATGCTTAGTTTGTAATAGTTTTCCCTACATTAAATGTAAATCTTTAAAATATTTTTACCATTAATGATTAGAATTAATTGTTGCTTTAAAACATGAAACTGTCTAGTAGAGTGAACATCCATGCGTTAATTTGAAATTTTGAAATTAACTTGTAACATGAGAAACCAATTAGCGTGCAAATAATGAACTTATATTCAATTAGAGTATATAGGATTATATTTATTTTTTCTATGGTAAAAAGGAATATAATGCTCAATAATATAAATATCATAGTTTGAGTATAGATTTTTAAATATTTATTTTAAGAATGTCCAGTCAACACATATAAAGATACGGTTGGAAATGGAAAATGCACTCCTTGTCCAAGGAATTCCACTAGAAATCTCAAAGGACAAGTTCAGTGCGTGTGTTACGATGGCTTCTATAGGTTTCAAGGGGAGAATCATACATATCCTTGTTACGGTGAGTACCTACACTATTTGCGTAATGCAATTTGCAAATGTTTTCTAATGAGTGTATAGTAGTGTAACGCTGCATGAGTCAAAATAGGATAGGATAAAGCAACTGTCGAAGATCTAGAGTGAATATAAAAGAGCTTCAAGATTGCTGAAATATAGTCAATATATAACATAGTATACTAACGAAGAATCTAGGTTTTATGACTTTTAAAACAAAATTAAGCATGCCTTTAACAGATTGCCCTTAGTTTGTGTTAGTCTGAGAGAACTACCATGCATATATTGGCATGGGTATATATATGCATAAATATGAAAGTATATAATGTAATAATGAACAACGGAACGCCTATACAGTAGCAATACGTAAAAGCAGAATAAAGATATACGCGTTGACATTTTCTTTTTTCATAGGAGTTCCTTCGCCTGTCAGAGAAATCAAATTTATTGACAAAACTGAAACCTCGATTACGTTGCAATGGACACCGCCATCTGACCAAGGAGTGATGTATGACATAAAATGCAATAAATGTCCATCAGGCAGTGATAGTGGGCCGTGCGTAGTGCCGTGTGGACGCCTAGTGATGTTTAAACCATCCCAAAATAACCTCACGCAAACGACATTAACCATACAAGGTCTCGATCAAGATACGGAATACCAGTTCGTAATTTATTCCAAGAATATGAACAGTCTGCGCATCAATAGGACCAACTGGAAAAGCGCTATGAAGAGAATTAAGACCGAAGGTATGCTGTAACTAACACGTGATGTTTTGGTGTTCAAGGACTGGCCCACAATGCAAAAGTGACGTGCTAGCTACTGTTCGTCAGGGGAGGCCAGCTGAAAATTTGGTTGTTACATGTTGTAAAATCTTTTCATTTATTTTATCTTACTTTTTACTTGTTATGTGTTGATTGCAGAAATGTCCAAATCAAGTGGTCTTCCTGCAGCAGTTGTAATTGTCGTTCCAGTGGTTGGTATTATTCTGATGATCATTATTCTTATTCTTGTGATCTGTTTGTTTAAACGGTAAGTCGTAAGTTCTGTGTTGATGCAGAATTCCTTTGCATGGCGACGTTTGAATACTATCGTATTTTTTTCTCATCCAGGCGCAAAATCAGACAATACAGAGCCAGTCAACGCTTACGTGGCGGAGGTTAGTCGTATTTTATACCAGGGAGCTTCATATATAAGTCGGGGGTAAGAATTTGAGTCCAAACGCCGGTGAAGCTAAAGATGGCGGAAATTGACGTTCAGTGCCAGTCCCTTTCTATTGTTTTTGTCTGCGCTTTTTGACTTCGATTTAACTTAGTTTGACTTTTTGACTGAGCATATGGTCTAAATGATTGTATATAATACAGTAAGTACACCTTTCCAAAAATGCTCAATCCTCGTCATACAGCCTCGTTTCTTGATTGAGGCATTGAATTTAGAGCCTTTATCTTGTTATAGTTGACACTTTAACGAACTATAGAGTTTTATAATATAGCATTTGTAAATTCTGAACGCTGATTGGCTAAGAGCCGTGTTGACATAACTCAATGTCAACACGGAAAATTTCTTTCTTTATATTGATATACAATTATATCACACAATTTCTCGTTTTCTCAATTTCCACGTACTCGTGTTGATATAACTGTATATCACCACCGAAAATGTTTTATATTTGTTAAATGTCAGTGAATATGAAGGACCTTTATAAAATTAGGTAACCAGTAAAAAAGGGCTCTAAAACCGAGATCTCAGTCACGAAAACGAGGCTCCATAGCCAAGGTAAGTACTTTCCGGAAGGGTGTATTGGGAATAGTTTTGTTGTAAAACAAGTAGTTTGCAAACAAGCTCAATATTACAGTGTTATTCATTGTGATATTTAGTTATCCCTCTAATGCCCGGTGTGAAGAATTATATTGATCCAACGACATATGACAATCCCGAGAGAGCGGTGTCGGAATTTGCAAAAGAACTGGACCGGAATTTGATTCAATTTGAAGCCATTATTGGTGGAGGTACAGTACTAAATATTATGTTGTGTGAAAAAAACTGTCAAGTCGCCGCAAGTTTATGATTATCATTATCTCGATGCAACATTGGTAGACAAACCTTTGAATTCCTTACTTATGTTTATTATTTATTGTCTTCCCAGGGGAATTCGGCAATGTTTACAAAGGAGAAATGAACGCACATTCTGGACAACCACCAACAAAAGTAGCAATTAAAACGCTCAAAGTACTGTTTATGTTTGTTTGTACACAATTTTTAGAAAATTTTAAATTAGATTGAAAAGAACAGGATCTGAGATATGAACCGTACCTCGAAGGCCAGCTGTGATATCTCAACAATTACATTAATTAATACCAATTTTACATATCTTTATTTTTACTAGGCGGGGGCATCGTCGAAGGATCGAACAGACTTTCTCATTGAAGCGTCTGTGATGGGGCAATTTAAGAATTTGAATGTGATCACTTTGGAAGGTGTTGTGACTAAAAGTAAGTTCAGGATAAATGTCTTCTTCAGATCTGTGATTGTGCCTTTTTATCCCTCAATTTGAACTAGGGTGCAGCATCTTTAATTTAAAATTTTAAGTACTTGTGAGGTTGGGAATTAAAACGTAAGGGCGTTGAAGATTGTTGGGTTTGTTTTAAAGATAGTGATGATGAGAGTGGTGGTGGTGTTTATATTGATGATGGAGTAGATAGTGATGATGAATGTGGTGGTGGTGTTGATAATGATAATGAGGAACATGGTGATGATGGGTATGAAGGTGATGATGAATGATGATGCTGAAGATAATGGTAATAAATGATGATGATAATGATGATGAAAATGAATGGTGATGGACGAAGAGAATGGTAAATATGATGATGGTGGTGGTGCAGATGGTAGTGACGATAGTATTAAATATATATATTTTACGCTTAATTTAGGTGCACCGTTACTTATTGTGACAGAATTTATGGAAAATGGATCTTTAGACAGATATTTAAAGGTAGAATAAAACAAATACAATATATGCATGAAATACAATTGCTATTGTTTCTCGTGCCATAAAACTTATAAATATATCAATCTCTATTGTTTGTAGGAAAACGACGGAGTTTTGAAAGCACCACAACTATTAGGAATGGCCCGGGGAGTTGCCAGTGGTATGGAATACCTGGCCGGGATGCATTTTGTGCATAGGGTATAGAATATTTTCGATCTTTATAATAACACGTGCAGTATTATTGCATATTATTCTTGTCTTTGTGGTGTTTATGAGGAACTGGTTATCCCAGAAAGCGAAATGACTACTTCATCAGTTTTACATGGCAATGACGATGACACTTTACAATATTTTCTCGTTTATATGGAGTTGGGAGTTAAGCGTAATTATTTGTTTATTTGTTGCGCATTTGTAGTTTCTACAATAACGAAAAAATCTCTTTACATTTCTATATGTTTCTTCATTTAAGGATTTGGCCGCCAGAAATGTCTTAGTTAGTGCAAATCTTAATTGTAAAGTCGCTGACTTTGGCCTATCCAGAGATGTTGGCAATACTGTGGAATCAGAGTATGAAACACAGGTCAGTTGGCCCAGAGCGACTGGACGGCATTGAGAGAAGTGGAATTTAAAAACAAAAAAAGACAATAAAATATTTATTATTACAGAATCGTGACTGGTTGCCACGTACTGTATTTTTATATTTAAGATACACTTTAAGACGTAGAGTTTATATTTTTAGGGGGGCAAAATTCCTGTGCGGTGGACAGCTCTCGAAGCCTTTATACATCGTAAATTTTCAACAGCCAGTGATATCTGGAGTTATGGTATTTTACTTTGGGAAATAATGTCATTTGCTGAAAGACCTTATTGGAATTGGGGTAACGAAGAAGTGAGTATACGATATATTCGAAGTGAGCAGCGGATTTACGAAGTACTGATCTCACAGATACAACTGGATTATTCTTGTGTGTTTTATAGGTTATAACAAGGGTCGCCGAAGGATACAGACTGCCCCCACCAATGGTAAGGGTCTATAATTGATACTGTATATATAGTTGCTTATACTTTGTTCGATACCCTCAATGTTATTGCTGTATAAGTAATAATAGGGAGAACCCAATCCGTTAATAAACGTTGTCGTCTTCGTCAATCTATTTTTACGCCCGTATTCTAAAAGCTCACTCACACTCACACTCAATGAGTGGAGGTTCAATCTGAGCTTCTCTCGAGTGTCATTGCTGTTTTTGAATAGGTGGAGGGATAGTGTCGTACCTTACTATGCGACTACTCATCCTCCAGCTATTCAAAAACAGCATTGACACTCAAGAGCTCAGATTGAACCTCCACTCCATTGAGTGTGAGTGTGAGTGAGCTTTTAGAATACGGGCGTAAGTTATGCCCAATCAATAGTTAATTTATGTTATTATGTTAATTTTGTAATTAATGGTAAAATATATTAAATTCAAATCAGGTTAAATCCAGTCAAGACATTGCGGTAAATTTTGCCAAAAGTTGGTGACTGTGAAATGGGCATTACATAATATAAATTGTATTTTTGTGTTTAGAATTGTCCTAAAACAGTGCATCAATTAATGCAAGAATGCTGGCTGTCAGACAGAACGAAACGACCACCATTTGGAGAAATTGTGAGAATCATTGACGAATGGATAAAATATCCCGGAAAACTTAATGAAGACTATATGAAAGTGAGAAGGTATACGATTCATGAGACATGTAAAAACTGTCGAATACTTTATAATTTATACAATTTTCTCTATAAAAGCTGATCCTATAACGGCGCAGGTATAACATGTTTCCCCAACGTCAGTTCAAGCAAATGATTATAATGCCTGAAGAAATTATTGCATGTCACGTATGATACATTCGACACTCCAGTTCAGAGGCTTCATTTGAGGTGTTTTGTAGTTTTCTCCGAGTATAACTACCCTATTCAAAGGCTGATGACTGACACTTGTATGCTTGACTTCCAAGAAACGCCTGCATGCATTAACCATAAGGACGCATTTTTAGGACTGAGACATTGGACTACTCGTCATTCACTTCAGTAAAAGATTGGTTAGAGGCCATCAAGATGGGAATGTATGCCAGTAATTTTTCCCAGGCGGGATACGAAGAACTGTCTGATGTCGCTCAACTTACCGAAGATGAACTCTTAAAGAAAATCAGAGTTACGTTGGTGGGACATCGGCATAAAATTTATCGGAGGATTAAAGAAATGAGTGAGGACATGAAGTTGAAACAAGAACAGTCGGTGAGAATTTGATGACAAGGCAGGATCATTGGAAAGTCTCGAAAGGTGGTAATGAACAAAATAAAGCTTTCCCTTAGCGCGAAGTTACTGCAAATTCTAGCTGCAGATTCTGGCTAAACTGAACTAGTGTTATATGATAATTGGCCGAAGTAAACACAGTGGATAGTTGTAAAAAACAACAATAGTTAAATAGTCTACAGTGAGTAATAACTTGCAAGTTGCAAGGAACGTCAATATACAATACTCTCTAGATAGACAACAGCTAGGCGGAAGACATTCAGTAAATGTGCGAAAAACAGACAGCTCTAGTTAGGTTGGAAGCTGTTCAGACTTCAGTGGTAGAAAATGGAAGAACCGAATAGCAAATAACAATAAAAATAAAAATAAAAATAAAGGACACTCGGGGACTGCATGCATACCAACGACAAACTTCTGCTTATTTCTCTAACTTCCAATTGTCACTCAAATTTAACGAAAATCTAAACAATTTTCGGGGGCAATGTCCAATAGTTCTAAAAATTCTCGTATTATAAATACGTTTGACATTTTTTAAGTTGTCGTACTGACAGCCAGACAGACACACATACAGCTATTTCAATTAAGGTTTCCCCGGGCAAAGCGGAAAAGTCGAACACGAGCGCGAAAGGCTTGCTGGGAATTGTTAAAAAATTCCTTAATTTTAGCGATTTCCAGCAAGCATTTAATTTCGCGCTCGTATTCGACTCTTCCTCTTTGCTCGAGGGCAACCTTAATTGAAATAACTGTATACAGACACTAGATACATATACGGATTAAAAATAACAAAGTCAATAGCTATAGCAGGCTGCCCATTTAGTGAGCAAACGGATTGCGGACAAATAAATAAAAAATACATCGCACGCGGCACTTTGTCAAATTTGACCACTACATTTCAACCTCGTCCCCAGGCCTTTGCGAAAATTTCCCGCTACAGTCATGTGACCTCCAGGAAATCAATATCCTCGGTTGATGAGGGATAGGAAAGCGGATAGTCGAGCAACGGTGGCGATTCGTGGTTTTGAACTTAAAATTTCATGTTGGAGTCATACAAGGTATGCGTCTATTTCATGGACGTACGAGACAGGGGGGCCAGGCAATTTCCCACCCCAAACATTTAGGAAACCATTGAAATTCGGCTTGGAAAAATCAAGACAATTCAGGGAAATATATCCCAAAATATGTTGAATTGAAGTAATTTCATTACAACTTCCATAAAAAGTCAAGCAAACGTTTATAAGTGCCCCCTTACCATACGCTGTTTTATATTGTCAGGAAGATCATTTCGTCTCGATGTCTTGGGGCTTGGTTGTTCTGTTATCAATATTCTTCAATATTTGCTTATGACTTGCGCGTATTGAATATCGCTTCTACCACAGCTTCTACAAAGTCACCTTACGCTGCTACTCCAATTGGACGTCTAATTCATACACATATAGACACCTTCTCAAAGTCGGCATAATGGAGCATATATATTGCCGATTCTAAATATCTGTTGACTGTATATTAAATCTAATGAGTTTAACGGCGGTGTAATGCACGCGTGCTGCCTGTCGTTCGCGTTGTATTACTGTGTTGAATATTGTTTGATTGCATATATTATAAAACGTTTGTTCGGCACGCGCGTTAAAAAGGAATGAATAAAAGCTTTTCTGGATGTAATACTACTAAAAACGGGTCACTTTTATAGCTAGCGCTATAACTTTGCAATAAACGTTTCGCTTCCGTGTAATTTAAAACAGTTCAATGCACTCTTTCGGCAAGTACTTAGCATTGATTATACAGTCTTGCATGCTTTCGGGGTTGCATGAGATATCAGGCGGCTTTACTGTATGCATATGTCGCTCGTCCGATTGACGCTAAATGTCCTAAAAACAGATTTTATGCTAATTGGCTCACGACAAAAATTATCGGCGCTTGACGATTCAATAGTTCTTTATTAGAAAACAAGTCGTTGCTTGAAAGTATTAATGCTGTGTCGCTTTCAGAATTTCCGTTATTGTTCTCCTTTTCCACGTGCCTATCACAATAATATCGCTATTTCATTTTCTCTATGTCTCTATTTCAAGGCAATATCACCGGTCGGAATTTACCTTAACATGCCACTCGAAAGCCGATATCTGAATCCGAAAACTCAATAGAGAAGGTGCATGCGAATGACAAAGTGGCGAACTTTGGATATTTATAATTAATTTTAATACTGCCAATTCCAAATCCTTTTAGACACTATTAAAGTAGCGAAAAAAACTTTCTAAATTGAAATGGCTATAGTAGCTAGCCATCAAGGGAAGCACTGGCAGATGTTTCGGTGTTGCTTCGTGCAATTGATGAAGCCTATTAATATTTTGGATGTGGATTCGAAATGAAATAATTTCCATGCAAATGCAGGTCGGATTTTTATTATGCTGCATGTTGTCATCTTGATAAATTTACAGAATCATAACAGTAAATTTTCGTGTTTTGTTTTATATTATACACTCACTGCTGTCTATGTCTATGTCTATGACTTTATATTATAATTGTAATGAGAATAATTCTCTCATGCTATAGTATATGATTTGAAGTGCTTTCTATAAAGAATACTATATGTTGCATATACCTACTGTATATCATTTCTTTACTCTTGTCATGCATGCATGAGAATATTCTGTAATGAGAGCCTAATTCTCTTATTCTCTATAAAGTTAGCGTGACTGAAGGGCCTATATGTTTTTCAGGTATGAAGAATATTATTTATGTTGCATATATATAATATGCGGTATCATTTGTTTTTATTTTAGACTCGTCAAAGGAGTTGCGGTGAATGAAACAATTTATTTTGTTGCTGGATACTTTGCTAAGAAATGAAATGTGTTAAAGAAACGTCATCAGTTATTTTTTCACTCTACATAATATTAAGTTTTCATATACATCATTTTGTTTGTAAAGAAGGTATAGTTTTTTAGTCATTAAGATTTGAAAGTTAGGAAGACAAACATTCCATAAATGGAACACAGCTTGCTCATGAATGATTTAGTTCTATACATACATGCATACACATATGCATGCAGTGCCATGCAGCCAGTCAATGCTGTCAATCCATCAGCTCAGAGGGTCAGTCGCCTGTCATGATGGTCAGTCAATCCGTTAGTCGTTGACCACTTTTCTCCGCAGGTGATTATTTACGCATGCTCGGTATACCTGGAAAATGTAAGGCATTACATTTTTCAGATATACAGTACAGTATATACCGGTACAATTGGGGAGTTGACTAAAATCGTCAATAAACGGGAGTCAACCAGCCTGGTTGGCCCTTCATGCACTTTGTCGTTTCATTATTGGGCTCTAAATCTAATGCACAACCATGAATACTGATGGCCTTTTATTTTCATTATGTATCTAGAGATTCTAAAGACAGGAACGTGTTCTGAATATTTTCATAGTAGTGTAGAAGATCCTGACTTCAGAACTACTGGGGTAAAACAGAAATCTAGCTATTTTTTATACAGTTTGAGTGTATTTAATCTTCAAAAACTCATTAATAATTCAGGAGCAAGTTTACTTTAAAAATTTTATTTTACAAAGTTTATTTTAAAAATTACTTCGCCAATTAATGAACTCGTATGAGATGAGTCGTTTTTGAAGCTATTTAAAGCACGTGCATGTATAGTCGGATTTTATCACATATAAAACACTCCGCGGCTACGCGTCGTGTTTTATATGTGATAAAACACTCCTACGCGTGCTTTAAGTACTATTTAAAGCACGTGTAGGAGTGTTTTATCACATATAAAACACGACGCGTATAGCGGAGTGTTTTATATGTGATAAAACACGACTACGAGTACTTTAAATGGCTTAAAAAACGACCCATCTTCTGATGAGTACATTACTACATTAGCGAAGTAATTTTTAAAATAAACTTTGTCTAAACCGAGAAAATCAAAGCTAAAGTTTATGTAAATTAACATGATTTTTTATCACATATAAAACCACGACACGCGCTTATGATTTTTCTTTGTGTTTTGCTGCTGAATTATTAATGAGTTTTTTAAATAGTACATATACTCGTTTTACATATATATTTTGTTAACTGTTCAAGTTTATATATATATAGCCTATACATATTTTCTTTGCTATGCTCTTAATTATATAGCACTCTTTTCTTATAATTATAAAAATCTAGCTTCGCTTTCCCTTTCCTTTACAAGCATTTCAATTTATAATCTTAGCACTGCAGACCAAGTATTTCTATGTGCTTTAACAAGTCAACAGCAGGAATTTTCCCCTGAACACGTTCCTACATTACGAATATATAAAGTCTGCAACTGCAGTTTTAGCAAAGCTTATATTACAAATTTAGTCCAGTTATATATAGTAATGATCTTATGGAGTAAAGCGTACGCGTACGCGTGTCAATTTACAAGTTGGTGCATACATATATATTTCTTGTACTGTTCAAGTTATATATATATATATATATATATATATATATATATATATATATATATATATATATATATATATATATATATATATATATATATATATATA